TGAACCGCTGAACTACGTGGATGAATTAGGCGCGGTTGCAGTGAGAAGACTTCCTTCATCTAACTGGTTCAATAAAAAAATCGCCTAACTTATAGTTAAAGGGATGAGGTGATCGGATCAAACAAGACTGTTATAACTGCACGCCTAGAACAGTAGATAACAGAGTCAAATGGACAGTGTAGGATACTAACTTCGATTATGGCTTTCCTTTTTCGATCGCTGCTTGATGTTCACTGTCTTCGGGTTTTCCTCAAAGAACGGGCCGCCTGCCAAATTAGTGCTGCTTGCATTCAATTGGGAAACTGAGGATCCATTAGATCCATACCCAAATGTCTGATGAGCAGGAGTTGACGACTGGGAATTGGAAGAGCCAGCGGAAGGAGGATAGGTAGGCACGGGGGTAGTGCTGGCCCCATTTCCAACGCCTGTTCCAGACAGACCGAGTGAATCGAGACGGATTGGTTGAAGTTCGGCTGCCGCAGCAGCAGCAGCTGCTGCTGCTGAAGCGACAGCATTCACACTAGTCGGCGGACTGCCCAAACTCGTACGCACCCGAGTGACGGCGCCAGTCCCGGTGTTTGCTCCGGCCAGTGCAGCCGCAGCGGCTGCGGCCGAGGCGGCCGCGGCGTTTACGTGATTTGCATAATTATTTGCTTGAACAAACTGGGAATCGGGTTTGCCGTGGGGATCGAGAAGACTGCAGGGAATGGTTATGGGAGTGGTGCTATTTGTGCTGCCATTGTTGTTCGTGCTGGGAACGTTGTTCGTGGTACTGTTCGAGCCGAACTCATTTCCGTACAGTCCGATTGTTCCCGAAAATACGGGAAATAGATGACCTCCGGGACCGTGAAACGATGAGGCCTGTGAATGGGTCTGGACGGAATTGGGTGCAAAGGGGTGCCAAGATTGAGAAGTGAGGCCGGCCACTGACCGGCCGATTGGAGCACTGGAACTACCTTCAAGTGAAGGCAAGCGTTGGGTATAATCAAACTGAAATACAACAGGACAGGGATAAACATTTGTGAATGCGAATTCGCGATGAATGGTTCGCGCGATGGAATCAGTATAAAGACAAAAACAACTCGCGAATATATGAATGCTATTCGTCATGAAAATAAGACATAGCAGGAAATGGGTGGAATACAAGCTCTGATTCCCGGTGATGGACCATTTGCAATCACAGCTCTCGCACTGACTTTTAATACCTAAAGCAGTTCTTGATGGGCTTCAACGTATCGGACCGATGCACGTCAATGATAAACAATTACAGCAGCTGACCAACACTAACAACAACTCGGCAAATCAAGCTTAAGGGACCACAGTGATCAATCCCAAACGACTTTAGAGCTAGGAACTGACCAGGTTTAAAATCCTCCAAACCACCACTTGTTTTAGTTGCGAACGGCAGAAACCGAAGATATCTGTATGAATATACAATTATAAGAGCAACAAAGGTCGCCAAACTTTGAAGGTCAGGATTTTCCGATATTACTTTTGAATTTCGAATACATTTTTGAGTACTCAACCGGTTCTGAAAATGGAAATTGAATACAGATACAGGGAACAAGATGAAAGATATTACAGCGAAAACAATTAGAAACAGAAAAGCACTTGAAATTTCGAAAACTAAGATGAAACAAGGAACACGTCAAAAGTTGACGGTCAATATTCGCTATATTATATTTTATCAAAAACTTATGAACTTCCACTCGTGTTCTAACATTCTGGAAAGATCAAATCCTCCGCCTATTTTATGAAAATAACACTGACACACAAGGCACTTATTTATCCTCTTCCTGCTTGAAATCACCGCGATTCGCCAAAAAAAGCTGGCAGTCAAAGGGGCCCCAATAGTGGGCAGTGGCTTAGCTACATGCACCATCCCATGATTGTTTTTGTATCTTTGTTTGTCCAGCTGAGCTTGCCACATACCTTTCTATCACTCTTCCTGCTACCAATTGAAAGCTACAGCTACAAAACATACTTATCGCATGTCTGTCTATCCGTTTGTCCGTCTCTAAATGTCACACAACTAGTTTTCATCCTTTATTCTTCCCCGGAGAAGCTTAAAAGCACGAAGCTTGACATTTTTAGCTTAATTCTTACTGAATAATACACAGAACCTTAAAAGGATAATCAACATATTCTCCTCAATTTAACTCATTGACCCACATGCATTCCTCTAGAGTATACCGAGACAAATACAGGCTTAGTGTTGCATCGTTCTATTCCGTGGGAAGAAAACAGGTTTACGGAAAATTCTAATCTTCAATACTTCCTAATTGGAAGTTCCGACGAACTATATTTTAAAACAGACCCGGGGGGATGCATAAAATTTGAATAGATAAAAAGGATGTATACAAAATACTGTGCACCACAGTCCATATTTCGATCAACTGGTCGTGTCATGTGGTGTCGAAGACGATCAAACACTTCGAACTTTCGTCAAACTCCATAAACGAAGAATAATCAGACGGACAAACGTAAATGTGATGCTGAAGGATGGACACACACACACACACACACTGATTGCAATTCTGATTACATGAAGCACAGGAATAACTGGAAGAATTAATTTGATGAGTCATAGAGCACAGAATAACAAATCGCAAGGATTCAGTAAGCAAAAATTATAGGGATGTGTTGAATAACAGAGCGTTACTCAGGTATTATTATCTTCAATCCTCGACCATAGAACTGTGATAAGAAATATGCAATGTTCTCGTCCGTATGCCAATGGTCTAATGGGACGAGCCAATAGGGTCTCCAGGTCACATCAAACCAAACTTGCCGAAATAAAATCGGACCTTGCAAAAGAACACTGCTCAAATTTAAGTATTTTGTTCCTCGTGAAACGCCGGTTAGGGAAGATAGCATGAAACACTGCGCACCTTAAGCGAATCCACTATCACAAACAACAAAGTGTATGTTGTTTCAGGGAGATTTATTCGATCGGCAATGAATGAGGCAAAACGTTTTTTTATATTTTGTTTTGATAATGTGGGTTAAAAGGGTGCGCTAATTTGCTTGCCGAAATTGCAGACAATTATTTACAGCCAAGCAACTTTTCTCTATCTGCAAACAAGTTGATTACATAGATTCATCCATAGCGAACCTTTGGCATGAGGTGTACAGTGACAATCCCAACACAATTCGAGGGTGTATTTTTAGCCCTTCCACATGCAGCCGCCAGAAGTAAGGCACCAAGTTGACAGTGATGACTTTATTTGATTGTAAATCAGACTACCTTAATTCACGGTTTATATATANTATTCAGTAGACTCAACAGTGGTGCCTTAAGTGTGAAGATCAGTCACATCTGCAATTTTTCGACTGACGATAAACCGCCTCAACATAAGTGAAACATTTAGCTTCAGTTAAAACAGCCATTAATTGCACACTTTGTTGCAGCAGTTTAGGTTGTGTTTTGCTTGTCCATTTGGATGCAGGAGTAGAGGAAAAATTGGAATCTGAAAAGCCGTGTCAAGGTGAAAGCGGAGAAATCCGGTAGAATAAGGCTTCAGGAACATTGAGCAGGTGCACGAGCGACATTGTTTAGGATACAGCCATATTACTCAGTGTTCGTGCCCATCGGCTACGCTGAAACATTACGGCATGATGAATTTGCAAGGTTTGTTCATCCTTGTAGTAGTATCTGAGACCTGGTTACCGACCTACGCAACTTGATGACCATTTAAGACGGGTGAAATGCCAAACAGAAATAGAGCACTGTGTTTCTGCCTATGGTTAGTTATTTGATCTGTGAGCTGAAACAGAGAGCGAGAGAGACTAAGAGAACTGTTAATTTTTAAGACGCTTCACCAGAAGACAACGCTGATTAGCTATGCCCACACAGTAGCACACATACACAAGTCGCGACAAGAATGGAGAGAGAAATTAAGGTGATCACTCCGCAGGTTTGATTGGTCGCATTCACAAATCACAGGTGATTTGGTGTGGATTCACATTGATTCAGACAAAATGTGGCACACGAAAACGGTTAGGTCACAAACACTAGGAAGCCAACAGTCCCAGCAATTTGAATGAATGAAGGTGTGAGTGAATGAGTGGTGCAACGGTCGATCCAGGGTTTGGATTTAGGGGTCTCCTGTTAGTGGTGTCGGATGGAACCGAATATGAAAGTGACAATATTTATAAATGACAAATATAGGCCCCGCTTAATAGATACAAGCTCTCTGTTCAAAACGATGGCAGAGGTGGCAGTCAGACCCATTATGTATGTCAGTTATGTAATCGATTATGTCCCGACTGCAGCGTAAACAGCATCAGCAGGATGTCTGTATTTTCTGGAGGGTGAAAAACACCTACGCGTAAAAAGACCAAGGTGTATTCATATACATGAAAAGATGGATGATCGTTAAACTACACAGTCAGCTTTGATCGACGAGATAACGCGAGAAAAAATTTCAATGAAGAGTACTCCACGACGGTCATTTTTGAAATTGAACTATTCCATGTGAGATACGGCACAGAGTACGCTGTACTAGTAAGGAAACTATCCGTTGCATCGCGTTTATCCGCGAACCAAGCACATCAACGCATTGTATAAGCATTTTAAATTGCTAAGAACTTCGTCGATCCAGCTAAATTTTAAACACCTTGTGAGTTGATTCACGAGATAACACTGTTTTTGCTCTCAACGAAAAATACATTGCTTTCTGTATTGACACACTTATATATGTAGTGCCTCCCCCAATTATAGGGACAGTAAACCCTTTACATCCCCATGTTTTATTATAAATTGTTTATGCGGCAAAACCCGAATGTACTCATGTACCGACATTATAGTAATGCATGAAAATCGCGGAGTACATCGAAAACGGAGAGTTTATTGCCAAAAAATAAGGTGCCGTAAAAACAAAGAACTGAAACATAATGAGCCGCGATTTTGCCTGGTTTTCTGATAATTTTAGAAAGTTCGTTAAGGTCATTCAGGCAACCATATGCAAACAGTTTTTGCTTTCAATCAATAGACATTTGCTAGACACCCCATCCTATTTACTGTTTTGCTCACAACAACACGAAGTGACAAATGGCAAAAAGTAGAGAAACGAAGGGGATGGACAATCACACATTTGGGCAATAGCATATGGGATTAGGATATGGTCACGGGAATATAAAAATTGACCTTTTATTGTCAATCACTAGTTCTCATATGCCTACTGAAAAACCGATGCCCGGCCGATTTCACCGACGGAATAAAGCATGGATTAATCCAATTCACATTCAAAATAACTAATCAATGCCAAGAAGATAATTTCAACAAGAACTGCAAAGCGGACACTTTAACGGACCCTTTAACTGAAGTACAAGATGATAGGGTGGTATCAGTGAACTAGCATCAAAGTCAGTGGGTCGAAAGTTGTTTACTGGAGGAGTGATATTTAGTGACGACAACGTTCAACATATGGGGACCAGGTAATCTACATTTCTGTTACTTATTTTTATTATTACACATCTAAGGGTGATGAATAGCAGACAGGGCGAACGCCATAATCATGAAGGCCTGCTGTTCAGTGGTGAAAACCGGCAACCTAAGCGGGACTTGGAGTGGCTAACCACATAAAGCCCCACGTCATGATAACGGGGAGAAGCTTATCGTACTGACTAACGATTGGTTATGGCCTGCAATGCGTTTTTTCGCAGAGTTGGTTATCTTGAATGGCAATGGACTAAAAGTTTATTTTCTCCTTCGCCGCATCATTTGAGCGCAATAACAAAGGGAAACATTACTCACAGATGAACAATACACCACTTTGGCGTGAAAAAGGTTATATTCTATGTTATTCTATTCGTTAAATAGGTAAGTAGATAGATAGATGGATAGCTAGCTAGAAGGAAAAATCTGTTCATCTCGTCTGCTAATCATCAGATAAGTGCATGCAAAGAAAGAAGCTTAACGGGACCCAAATGACCGAGTTTCTTTATTAGTGTCTTGTTACCCTAGGTTTTGGTTTTATCAACCTTGACTTTTTCTCACCTATCACCTACCTCGGTAAACATCGCAGGTCGTGTTGACGTGCGTAACGCACCCCAACCAACGCGATTACTGGAAGTTGACCACTTGAACCAGTGACCGACGGCGTTTACCTTAAACTCTCCTTAATTATTCGTGTTCCACATGTAATTCAGGGTGTATTTTTAAAGGTTAATTCGTTGCGGATGCGTCAAATTAGAACGACAATTCACGCAGTAGTCACTGCAACCACCAATGATCAGGTTAGGATTACCAAAATATCACAAAGATCAAACAGTGCGTATTTTCAGTCATATCTCTATGCCGTGATGTGTCTCTCATAGAAAGATGGTTTTACATTTTGAGATTTTGTTCACTGTATTTTAAAATATTGGTTTTTAAATAAATTTGTGTTCAGGAGTGATTTCCTTCTCATCGACCAAATATTCCCGCTTTTCTAGTGATAAAAACCCTAAAAACTGGGTGAGGGAACAAGATAAACTGTAAAACGCTGAGCAATCTTTAGCACAAAAGGCGCATTGTGGTTTTGGATTAAAAATACGGATAGTACCAAATTGAGGTAACCGCTTGGCTTAGCAGTGTGCATTGTCACAATATTTTTGTCGGATCAAACTTGGGTTGATCCATGAATAATATTTATCGCCTAAATCATTTGTCAAACATTCTCATTTTCTGATTGCGTGCGGTTTCGATGATCCCTGTCTGATATCCGTTGGGGTGGTTCCATTGTTGAAACTGAATAAAAAAGGAAGTCTCCCTATAAAATATGGCGCGCATTGCTGATGGATAAGAAGTACAAATGTGCTCAAAGCTAGCTCATCCACGCGTGTGCGAAATCACAAGAAATGAGCTGCACCTAGAGAGACAGACGGATAGAGGAATTGTGGAGAAATTCGGGTTGTAATTATTGGCAAAATAGCCAAATGGATTGAGAAGGAAATTGTTGGACTAATTCTCGCGTTCGATCGATCAATCTACCCACCCACTTGACCTTATCAACGAAACACGGGTGGGCGATCGGTTGAATTGCACTAGCACGCTAACTCGTTTGTTCACCCGCATATACACACGCACGCGTGAACCAATTTGCAGACATGCATGTGCATGATCGATGATGGAGCTAAACCCAAAGACACGGACACACAAACACACAACGTAGAGGCAAGCGTGCACGCGCACACACAACAACAGGCGCGACCCGAGGGAGGGACAACAAAAGTACTCTTATCTTATCAATGGCGTCCGGCCTGGTCGGTCAAGGTCAAGGAAGATGTACTTCTGGCGTAGAGTCACGTACTGAAACCAATTCCGAGGTCACTAAGTTTCTGGCTACCGAGGCCTACCACGAAATAAAACATCATACACAAGCACACACGACGACCACAAAAATTGATGGATGAAGGAAAAAAGGGAAAACAAACAAGCATATCAGGAATGGAGCGGCTAACTATCCAGCGAGGATGGAACCCTGGGGATCATTTCATTCAGACAGCGACAATGGAAAATGCTAGACCGATTTCAATGGAACTGATTTATCACGGCACGTCATCCATCTGCTGAGCAACAAGCCTGATGTAAGTTGGGCCGGTGAACCACTGGCAGTTTACCTGGGGGAGTTGGCTAAAACCCTGATTCCAAACCAACCAAGAAGGGGCGCACAAATCACACTAACCCAGAGCTTTCTTGTCTTGGCAATGGTCACCAGCTTGATTGGGTATCGAGGTGTATTGGGTGCCTTGGACGTTTGACCCCTTCCGAAGGGTGCATGATTCGATGAAATGGACACCTGGTCCCAATGGATTGCGCTTTTCACGTACCGCACCTTGTAGGTCAGGCTATGGCTAACTGAAAGCTCCGGTTGTGAATTCCCCAAGAAAATTCATCTGCCTTGGCCTGTGCAAGCTGGCAGTATCACGCCCTCGAACAAATCATGGGCATCTTTCTTTTTATAGAGATTATTGTACCGTGGTTTGTTTAGCAAAGTCTGAGCCCAAGCGTGTGGAAAAACATATACACGTCGTATTACACTATATCAAACCAAAAGCACTCAACATGGACTGCCTCTGAACCGATCTTTATGACAAATGGTGGATTGTGAGTGCACCAGGGGGAATGTTTGTCAGCGATTAGGTGTCGAATGTAGCCTCAGCTTACTGCCTTCCGGAACCACACATAGGTCGGCGAGCCACCGGCGATTCAGCCTAAGCAACCTATTAGGGATGTAGGAACCACGCTCACTACTTCGTATTGACAGTGGTCACGCGCCTGGTTGGATATCGAGGTGTTTCTGGCACATTACATGTTTAACAGGGGAAAGGTGGGCATCATTCAATAAATTGAACAGAGGCCCCGAAAGAATTTTGGCTCTTTTAGATTACAGTGTTGCAGTATGAGACTTTGACCAACTGAAGGGTAAGATTTTTTGCTCTGGTTGGGCAACATCGCATTATTCCGCCCACTTACTTGGCACTAACCAGTCAATCATTGTGTCACGATACGATTCCAGAAAACTGCACATACTCTATATAAACTAAGAATTAAGAAATANTACCACACTTTTTTTCAACAAGTTGCTACAGGAGTAACCGAATCATACGGCAGTTTTCATGATGGCATCAACCTGAGTGAAGCAAAGAAAACTGGAGGACCGACGTAGAAACATATTATCTTTGCAGTGGATTTGGGAACCGCTTAGAAAGATATTCGTTACGAACGATTAAATAGGTAACCATGGCCTAGCGATGCTTGATTTTAATCAACACAATTGTCATTGTGCAGCAAAAGGCAACGAAGTGAACCTACGCGGATTGGTCGACCTTAACAGACTGTGCTGCACCATTCTCTGATTAAATACCCTCGGGATAACTGGGTGACGGAAATGGGAGATGACTAGAATAAATGTCCGTGACTGGTCAGTGATTTAACCAAAGGGTCTAAGAATCTTAACCATAATACTTGGGGTGTCAGAGTGAGGTTCTTGAGGCCCACATGTGTCTGTAGAGAACGTCGTCGAGTGTAACTGGAAACGGGGTTCACCGGCTTTATTCTGCTGTTAACAGATCGCTCAAAACTTTCCTCCCGTTTGCGAGGTTTTGTGAGAGATTCTCGCTGAATATCGTAAGCAGAACCGCGGCACTCGTGTGCAATGCGCAAACAGGGCTAAACTGAGACAATACGTGAAAACCGGAATGCATACACACACCCAAACAGAATAACATCGTGTCGTACTTCAGGCTAACCAGACTAATGCATTATTGACACACGTAGGCCAGTACAAGTGTTGGACTTAGCAATCGGTAAAAAGTGCACGCGCGTTAGTGCGTGCCTGAGGGCGTCTAAACAACATTAACAAAGTGCGTATTGCACAAGTCTATACATCGATCACTGACGAACCGAATACAGAACAATAGAATTAGCCGAATGGCAGTAATGATAACGATCACCATCATTATTATCAAAAAACCAACACACAAAATAGATCCAAGGGTTCAAGGTCAACAAACTGCTACGCACATTAGGGTAAAGGAGCGAAAGATCAGGTGCGGGTGTAGGTAACGGTCTCCGTATTATTTTGCCTACACTGCTCTCATTTCGGTGAAGGCAAATGGGCACCAAAAACCACGGTGTTATACACAAAAGGAAGACAAATCACGAAACGGATAACTAGGTATTTACATTCCTCTGAGGGTAGACGCATCACACGTCCTAGAACCAGTACACTGAGAGCCCAGAGGGAAAGCCAATGTGTACTAACTAGCCAACGCGTATGCACTATTAGCAACGATGGTATGCAAGCGAAACGATCGTTTGTTGCCACTGCCAGCAATGTGCGTATGCGCACCGAAAAAGGATGCGAGTCTGTGTGTATGTACGGTTTCGGGAACGTGCCATCTTGTTTATGAACGATTAGAGTGCTAGCAGCGATTGAAAGTGTAAGTAGGCAAGCAAGAAAGGTATTTGAGAGCAAAAGTGCGAATCGTTTGATTACGACAGATTGTACTTGTTTGATGCCTTCTCAATTGGCAGTACAAAAAAGTCGTAATTGACGAAAAGGACATTTGCAATCCGCTGTATGCGGTTGATCGCACCAAGATTGGCCCCATGCGAACAGAGAAATTTCAAAAGATAATATCGACAGCAATCGTAATGGGGGATTATGGATTGATTGTACACTGAGTAAGATAACTAAACTGTGTTCGGAAGATGAAGATGAAACAAAAAAGAACCCACGTTCCAATTCAAGTTGGGGTCCTAAATCGACCCAATTTATACGCATATCTAATCTAAGAACTTTTGTAGCTGTATTTTGACTATAACTATAGATTTTATTCCCTCCTCCTGCTTCTCTTGCACAGGAAGATCAAATGGGTAACCGAAGATGCGGCAACTTCTGGGGCTTACATTTTGAGGTATTTCCTTTTTTAAAAATNCGTCTTATGATCCACATTGTTTTGAGGTTTATTGGAAGCGCTCTCATGAACCATTACTTAAAAGAACGAACTTTAAAAAAACGTATCGAAAGAAATTGAAATATACTACTTTGTTTGCAGTGGTCTACAGTTTGAACGACTGTAACGAGTAATTGCACAGAACGAAAGGACGGTCTAGGGTAGTCAAGACATTGGATTGAGCTTTGTAATATCAGAAAACAAAACGGGATACATGCTTAGTTTATATAATGGTCCGTGAAATACCATTAAAGTCACACGCTGATAGGCCGTTAGCACTTGAAGTAGAGATAAATGATAACCACAATCGCCTCACTAGAGTTGGCTCTTATATATGCCATATGCACGCGTACGGACGTATTGACTCAGATTTAAATTAAGGCTTGTCATTCTCCTTATTCTTAGCGATCTTTGTCAGAGCGAAATCTGTGAATCGGCCATTTTTAGAACACCTTTTTAATCTAATTACAGTGCACCCAGACTGTTGGGAGGGGCCTTTGAGATAGTGGATAAGCCGGTTGATTTCAAAGCCATAAACAATGAGCCAAGTCCAAAAGCCATGTACGAAGGCTGAAATA